CGTATTAGGTTTTCAGCCATTTCGAGATCCAGTTATGTGGTCTATAGGAAAAGTGTTAGGTAAGCATCCAGCTTCTTCACCGTCCCTCGCAACCGCTGTTCTCATATGAAAAACGGTAATTGAAATTCATCATTTTCGACACACTTCGCTATATGAATCTCTACCAAGCCACAACGTGGTTGGAGCCATAAGCGGCATTTCCCTTATTTATATCTTGATGTCACCTTCCACGGCTTTGGAATGGCTCAATTGCTTCCGCTTTAGTGACTTCTATCCGGGTGAAAAACTTCGTCCAAGGAGGCCACCTGCCTTGGATTTGGACCTACTGTGTTCCTTTTGATTAAAACCATCACATGTACAAATCAACTTGCTATCTAGTCCTTACACATGACTGGTCCCAAAGCACAAATGGAAGAGGGCCTCGCTCACTTAGAGAAGTTCTAAAGTTCGGTCAAAATTCTTCTGACCAGCAATTGACCAAAACTCCAAGGGGAGCACATGTGGGTACTGTCTACAACTTTCTCCTCCTTTCCGCGTGTACGGCTGGTCATATCCAGCACCCGAACAGCTTTCAAGGTGAATTACTCCGGCACGAGCGCAAGCGCGCTAGATCCCGAAGGGTAGAATCCGATCGCGCAATCCTAATCAATCCAGTAGGACGGTGAGACTGTGTATGTGGTAGGGTTTCTTTCTCCCTTTCCGTAGTGGAATTCCTTCTTCTCAGCGCTTTGGTAAACCTACAAACCCTATTGCATCAACTATGCAAAAGGGGGGACTGAAAAATCCCGCTAAGAACTCATTCTGTCTTGAGCCTTGGTTGTCCAGTGCATAGGGACCTTGAAAGTTGCCTGGTCATCAACATTGTTACGATAGGCCAGAGAAGTCTGCCCACGCAGAGGAGGGCGACCCGGTGGTCGCTTCTTGTCACGCGGGTACCATCGCATGGTCGCGGAGCTCCATCGTCCGTCACTTCTCATCATATGGCCGGCTCAATGTTAAGTAAGTTGACGGTGACTTGAAGTACAATGTCCTTGATCTTCGAAATGGCTCTGACGCCTGAGTTGTGAAGTTTCAATTCTCGTTGACGGCTCAACGTCAGGCCTACTAAGCGGCGCTCAATAGATGCCTAGGCAGATTTTGACCGCTTTTCGAGCGCTTTCTTTAGAGCCCGGGGCGGAGGTCATGTAGTGGCAAGTGGCGCACTTACCACTCGCGCGGTCCTGGGTTCGAATCCCAGGTCGACTCCCGCCCAGGCCAACCAAGCCTTCTACCCCGGGGACGGTAAATTGGTACCAGATTCGTCTGGGAGGATAAAACACTGACTTGTACATCGGCTGGCCACCGCAAGTCATTGTATAGGCCACATCGCATTCAATAAGCCACTACGATTCTGAATGGAAGTAGAATGCGTGCCGCATCCCACAAAGGGATTGACTGACGGCGAAGACTTGATTTATCCTTTACTAACCGGCTTCGCCGGCTGAAATTCCTACGAATCAACTCGCTATCTATTCCTAACACTTGACTGTTCCAAAAGCGCAAATGGTAGAGGTCCGCTCTCTCAAAAAAGTACTGAAGTTCGCAAAAGTTTTTCTCATGAGTTGAGGGTACTCAAGGGGTAGCGCACATGGTTCTCCTCCTCCGCTATACCGACTGCCTGAACAACGTTGTAACTGGATATGGAGGAGGTGTCTCTAGGTGAACCATCTCCGGAAACGCCAGTGGCTAGATCCTCCAGAAAGGGTGGAACAGTTCTGCAGTACTATCAGTCCAGTGGAACCGTGAAACTCTGTATGTGGTGGGTTTACCGCAGGAATTTTCTTCCTCTCAGCGCTGTGGTAACCAGCGATTCTTATTGCAATCAAAATCCCCACCATTTGGCTCCACAACCAAACAATGTTTGCCTACCACACCACAGATCAGGGTCACTCGTTTGGAAAATGACTGTTCGAGATCTTGCAGCCTAGCTGGTGAATTCTACCAAGGTCTCCATGTGGCCCTGACTTGGCTCTCGCTGAGTGTCATCTGAACTTATCCCTCGGCGGCCAACTGGGTGAAAATGCGATTTTCAAAAGCACCTCAAAAATGACCCAGCTGCCTTTCTCGGCACGGAAGCCAAAAAGCTTCTGGAAGCAAGGCAACCACTCTTCGTCTGGTGGTTGGCAACAAGCCAATCATCCAATCTACGACACTTAAAGCACCATTGCTAATGGACTCAGCGTTGGGGTAGAGAAAAAAAATCACCGGATGCGGGCTCGCGGCGCGTGCCGAGAGAAGTCGTCGCGATGGACCGGCGAACGATAGGACGCTGACAGGCGCTGCGATTTTATAGATTAGGTCTTTATCGACCACTGTTTGCCTTCAGTCGCTTGCCTCGAAATGCGCATTGGTAAATGTAATCGGTAAAGGCAGCCGAGTCAGCGTGTCCCTTAGGGAATAGTTCACCTATTCTTAGAACATTTTTTTCAGCTGCCTTCCATAATCTAATGCTGGTAACCAGTCATTATTCGTCACTTCCTGCCTTCGCTCTTGTCCTACCTGTCCTTTTGTTTACGGTTCACCAGCAAAAGGCCAGAGCTTTCACTGAATCAAGATTTTAATGGTACAGCGCTAGCTTTTGCCTCCTTTTCACTGCTTTATCTCTGCGGCGACAGTAAACATGCCACGCATGCTCTCACAAGATGTGGTGGAAAAGCATATCTTAAAGGAATACGAGAACACAATTACATGATTGAAATAGGTAGCCGTACGGATACAAACATAAAATACTGAGATTTCATGGCCTGTACATCGGAAGCCTGCCATCTGTCAGAATACAAAATTACAACGTGTGACTAGACCAATGCTATGCCTTGCTGCTTGATTGGAATTCCTGGAATGATTCCTGAATAGCCTGATTCATTTGACGGTTGAACTCTTCTTCCTCTTGTATGCAATCAACCAGTTCCTCATCGTCATTGATTTCCTCCACAATATTACGAACAAGTTCAAGCATGGCATTCCTGACATTGACTTTTATCACCTGTGCTAGAGTAACAAAAGTGCATATCATGTGAAACGGAATAATTCGTAACAGGTAATTGTAATAAAGAGGGTATAGAATCCGCCGCGTTACACACTGTTACAAGAACATTCATGACAAACCGTGTCTGAGTCATGATCCTCGTTGTTTGATGGACTGCTCTGGATGCAGTCGCAAGAATTTCGAGAGACGAAACACCTCTGTTGGAGAAATCTTCCATCTCTTCATACGGGACACAACCGTGGTACTCTGAATATCGACTACTAAACAGTAAATAATTTGGAACACATACCATTTTCCTTTTGAAGCGGACACTTTTGAACTAAAAATGACAATTTTCGATTGAAGTCGTACTGTTTTCATATATCGGGCATTTAATTAACTAGACCACACTAGGTACTGCTGCAAGTCCGCCCCAACATCTTCGCCCACTTCTCAGAGCGGTTGTAACGCTTTCAAACCTTTTTTGTGGATGCTGCTTCTGTGACTTTTTCGCATCTTTGCCGTTTCGCTCATACATAGTGGTTGAGAAAGTTTGACACTGACACAGATACGACTCCGCCCACTTCTGATGAGAATATTGCGAATTTTGAATTTTAATACTTTCCGGCGTTCCTTTCACATCCATTCTACACTAATCAAATGCACTCATAGACATGCATTCTTTTCGCCTGTTTAAGCTGCAATGGGTAGCTTGCAATGAGTACCCATTTATAAGAACCTCAGCCCACTTTTGAAAAAGGATCCAAATCGACAGTTTAGAATCTCAACTTGCATGCTGAGGTCTCTATCGTCTTTCCGAACAAACTCTGCCTGTTTTTTTGTTCCCGAGAGAGGGACCGAAGGGTCTGGCCTGCTAAATGAGACCCCAGTATGCCGATCGAATCATTTCTCGAAAAATGGGGTAGCACCGCAACCGCAGAGCTTGCAAGGGAGGTCGCTCAATTCACGGTGAGTTTTTCCGGAAACAGTTTGTTGTATGATCTACGGATCCACGCATGGGCCACATAGACGAGGTTCATTTTTCTCCATTCTTCTCTCATCTCAGCATCCTACTAATATAATCGGCTGTGTGTGTGTGTGTGTGTGTGTGTGTGTGTGTGTGTGTGTGTGTGTGTGTGTGTGTGTGTGTGTGTGTGTGTGTGTGTGTGTGTGTGTGTGTGTGTGCGTCTGTCTGTTGTCACGAAATTCATAGCACCTGAAGAAGAACTTGGAGAGGTCGGGTCATGGTGGGGATGGGTAGAGCATGGGACAAAACCTAAATAGCACCCATGACCCATGGTAAGCCCCGCCCACAGTGGGCGGGGCGTGCGTCAAAAGTTAGCGATGTCACTGAAAAAAGTCATAACTCGGTTCCAGAGCAGTCCCGAGATGAGGAAACAGTGCAGTAAAGTTAACAAAGGCCTGACCGACCAAACAGAGGAGACACACCCGAAATGGGCGGGGCGTACTTGAGATGGGCGGCGCTTCCCACAAAGGTCGGTAACTCGGTCCCCGAAAATGTTTAGGGATCGCAGAAAAGTCCATGACGAAGATTAACGTCTGGCAAGAGTCCACCATGTTTACGGCGTGCTGAGGCCCGCCTACAGTGGGCGGGGCGTGCATTTGAGCACGAGGAACAGTATAAAAAGTCGTAGTTTGGTCCTAAAGCACTGCAGATGGTGCCAAAAAGTGGATTATGGTCCCCAAGTGATCAAATGTAAGGAATGTGCGAGGCACTCCCGTTGTGGGCGGAGCCAAATTCGGAAAGAATTCGCAAAACGGTTCCAGAGCACTCCAGACACCGGGAAAAAGTAGTTTAAGATCAGCGAGGGGTTATTAGTTGAGAAGCGCGAGGCATACGTTGTGGGCGGGGCGTGCCCCGAGGTGGGTGGAGCCAAATTTAAAAAATTCGCAAAACGGTTCCAGAGCACTCCAGGCACTCCAGACCTCTATGTGATACGGCCCGGCTTTGCGGGGCGTCGCGCCTACCTGCATTCGTATGATCAAATGCTCGACTAATACCCGGCTTTTCTCTCATCTGTCCACTTGATCAACTCCTTACCACCACTCCATACACCGTAATAGTGTTGAAAGTAGCAGGTATGATGCTATTGGTCAAAGAATGTTGACCACCTGTTCAGGTAAAAGAAAAGCCTGATACTAGGCGGCTAATGAAATGTGTGGAAGAAGGTAAGCGGAGTGCGCTCGCTACGAAGCCGTGCTGTATCTCAGAAGGAGGCGCGCCGGTGTCAGCCGGCGAAGCCGGCTGCTTGTTAATAATGCCAAAAATTGAGCAGAAGAAATTGCTTAGAATGGGCAATTTCAACCATCTGCTCAGTTCTATTTGTACGCGTTGAGTGCGTAAGTTAGTAAGGTGTTCTAACTGGACATAAAAAATACGCAAAATTAGGTCAAAAACCAACTACCCTATCTGCTGTGTGGCGAAGAAGTAGTGAAGTCTCTTCAATATCATTCGCATCTTACCCCTGGCAGTTGATGGGTTGTTCGGTGGATAATGGGACGGACTCTCAAACCGGATGGTAGTTTGTGGATCGGATCCGCTAGGGTAGGAATTTTTGCATTTTTCAGATTCCCACTTTCTTGTGTTCCTGCTTGCCTGGTAATGTGTATAAATCAGATATATGTATGCCATTTAAGGGTCTATATATGTGGTTCACAAAGGGGCCCTACTCAAGTATTTTTCCTCTCGAATTACTACGAAAGAAATTCTCCCTGAAATTTGAGTTACGGCGGTTATTTGACGCGCTGGTCACGAACACGACACTCATTTTTGGATATGGCGCAAGTCGCCAATTCGTGCAAGAGCTTTCCCGCATCGAAATCACTGTCAAACAGTATGCATGGGCTATTCTGCGCCAACCTTGCCCCAAATGATCTTCGCGCCAAAAATATGCGCCAGGATCGTGGTCGGGGCCATCAGTCATCCCTGTAAACACAGTTTTAGCAGAACAATTTTTTTGAGCTTCGTGGATTATGGTGACTGAACATGTCCATAACTAGTCGCTATCAGTCTCTTCTGAAAAGTCGTAAATATCGTGAAAACTTGAAAAGGAATGATGCATATATACTGGACACCATTCACACCTGAAAAGTCGAAGAAAAGCAAGTTTTTTTTCAGCATGACGTAACGAGGTCTCTGATGAATGCGTAGATCGCAGTTGAGAGATATTCATAATGCTCGTTTAGGTGTCTGGAGCTAACTTGGGGCTTTTCCAAGATGGGGTGAATTTGAGAATTCAAAATTTATGTCAAAATTTAAAATAAATAATCAACAAATAATCGGCTCGTCTTGACCTGCACACATGATCAACGCTTCTTAACCAATAGCATCATACCTGCTACATTCCAAACTATCACCGTCTATGGAACGGTGGTAAGGAGCGTAACGCAGGAGCGCAGACGAGAGTAAAGCAGCTTATTGGCTGCGTACTGAAACATAAGAAAGCAGGGTGTTCTCGGCGAAGCTTCAGCGATGCAGCTCGGCAAAGCCAGCCCTGTGGCTGCCTGTGCGTGAAACTCAGTGAAAAATAAGTGTTTCCTGCTTGAGAGCACGTCCTGCCCACTATGGGCGAGTCCTAAGACGCTACACACGCTCAACTCCTTTCTGTTCTCCATCAATTCTTCACGATCTCCAAACTTAGGACAGTGATATGAAAATATGTGGCAAGCACTTCAAACTTCGAGTACGACTCGCTCGTTTCAAGGAAGTAGGCCCCACTTCGTCCGCTAACCCTCCGATCCACTTTTCCCCGTGCCTATGCTGCTATGCTGCTCTGTTTCCGATTTCTGAATTTTCAACTTTTGCCTTGCCTACTTCTAGCGGTGTGCTCGCTCCTGCGGGTTGAGATGACGCGGACGTCCGAAAGCAGGTGACAGGGCTTTGTGACGGGCCGGCCTATGGGCACCCATGTCACATCACACAAGTTCAATTATGCCACATGTACTCCGAGTTAATGCTATGGCGTTCGCGACAGCCGTCGCGCACTAGCAAGGCCCGGCCAGTGGGGGAAGTACGCGAGGGTCTCCGATGCCAGGACGGCGTCGATTGGAAACTAAACTACTCCAAACTCGTGCAGCGTGAGAAAGTCCGCGTGGCAACTTATTAGGTTGGCGGGAAAGTTCTGTCACATTTTTTCAAACGAGGCTTTCTTTTCATCTAAAGGCGTCCAAGATCGAAATTATACAGCATTGTTATTGTAGGGTTCTTTCCAGTTCTTAGGCACCTCTAGATGCCACTACTTCACAATGCAGTTCGGCGCGACGCAAAGCCGGACATCATCTCAATTTTGACGTGCGCTCGGGTCGTTGAGGTTCTCCCGCTCATGTAACGGTTAAGCAAGGGAGTCGACTAGCAGTAGGAAAGAACATTGCCTAGGCTATAGTGATGCGAGGAGAAAGCCATCCAGCTCTATTGCGTGATGTTCGGTGCAACCTTTTTTGGACGGACGTGGCTGCACTATCATGTTGAAGGCGGCTGTGCGGACAAATTTTTCCCTCTGATCGACGTTCGCTTTAGATCTCGTAGCTGCTTTGCGTACGCATTGACCGAGGAAGCAGCTTCTTCATCCAGCAGTTTCACGACCCGCAGCTCCCTCAGGCTGAGTTCACATGTACACCCAAACCTCACTTCGTCATCAAAACTGTAGGCTCCCGCTTTGAAGCATTAGCGTCGTGGAAGGTTGTCCGATAATTGAGGGCATCGTCCTTATTCAGCTCCATTATTTTGGCATCTGCAGCTATCATGCTGGCAGGGTGGTGGAAGAAAGAGTTTGAGGAAGCGCTTGGAGGGGTCGGTGCCGATGGTAGCGGATAACATTCTTGTCCATATTGCAGAAGAAGAAGAAGCAGGAGTCAAGCGAGTGGTACTAATAGAAAGATCATTCCTTGATGTATAACTGCTCACATTACCAGTTACCACTCTTCAGGTAACAAGTATTTTCGAGTTCACAGAAGGATGACAGAACTTTCCCGCCATACTAATACAACGTTGCGACGTTGACGGGACGCTCATGTGAGTTCGCAGAGGCCTCGGAATGGGGACGAATATACCTCTGTGCGGTGCAGGAAACAAGGCGGTTCAGTCACAAGTCAAGACAAATTGGCAGCGTCTTTAAAGTTATTCATTGTTGTAAGCGAAGGACCACCGACGGTAAGGCCTTAATCGTCTCTCGACGTCTCCGTACTTCGATAGGGAGCACGGAACGCTCCAGAGACCGCTTGATGGAGATCGAAGTCGCTGTCGAGCAACGACTGTAGCATTTTTTCTCTGCGCATGCTCCGCAAACTAGGTGCACCAAACGATCCAAAGAAGGGTTCTGGTCCTGCTCGAGGAGAAGAACCTGAGGTGACGTCAGAAAACGCCGTCATTGTCGCTAGTGAATTTAAAGGACACGTAGGCGCCACGAAAGACCGCTGCAGTTGTCATGGTGGTTGTGGTTATGGAATCGCGTTATGCCGATGGGAAGCGAATTCTCGAGTGCAGAAGTCTATAACCTGGTCATTGTGAATACGAAGTTTTATGAACGCGCCTCTCACCTCATCGGCTTCTACAGCTGATTTTGTCCTTGTCAGACATCACCAAGGGCTCGTTACAGACGCAAAGACTGTGCCGTATGAAACAGCTGCCGTGCAACATCGCCCACTGATGTATCCGTCGAAGATCGCTCAGGTCAAAGAGGTCGACTGATGTAGTCTCGAGAGAATTAAATAGTGGCCTTCGAAAGGAAGGGAGGCAGCTCTTATGTCTCGTATTCGACTCGGTCACGACAGTCGACGAAACCTGGAACGCTGATACCGAAGCCATACATGAGGCGGCTCGTGCCGAGTTCGGCATCACGGAGCCTGGAAGGCGTACAATTGACAAGCAACCATAGCTGAGGACAGACAGTGTGAGAGGAACGGTCCATGGACAGAACGGATGGTACCGCGCTTTCTTCGAAGAAAAATTAGCTGGCAGTCGGCGGAAGTACAAGAAAGCGAAGTATATAGCAAAGAAGGCTGTGACTGTTTCGAAAACTGCTTATTTTGAAGAGGTCAGTAGGGAACTGGGTTCACGCGATGGAGAACGACACCTCTCGACCTGCCAAGGCCCGCCGTCGCCAGACCGAAGATATAGAGGAGTTCGCTGGCGTCAACAACGGGAGTGACCGCTTTTTGCTGGGTCAAAAGAGGGTAATGAAGTGTTGGCACGACTTATTCAAAATATTTCGCCCATGGAGTATGCATACCCAGCCATCCCTTCCGTCTCACCAGCATTCAGAAGATAACCATAAAAGAGACGGAAGCGGCTCTCAGAAAGATGAAGTCAGGCAAAGCAACAGGACCTGACGACGTGGCAGCCGACTTGTGGAAGGCACGGTGCTGGTACCCTGCACAATGATTGACGGATTTCTTCAATCAGGTCGTTGCTGAGAAGAAGACGCCCAAGGACTGGCAAGAGAGCACGACGATTCCGATTTGGAAGAAGAAGGGCAGCCCTGCGGACTGCTCGAACTACCGTCCAATTCGCTGTCACACAGTATGAAGATCTTTGAGCGAATTGTTGACAGTCGTATTCGCGAAATCGTCCAGCTTTCTATCAATCAGTGCGGCTTTGTGACAGGTTGTGTCTAATCAACGCCTTACATGCCATGCGCCTTTTGCTGGTGAGAGATCGCAAGAGGCAAAAGTCACTGCATCCAGCTTAACCTGTGAAGTTATATGATATGCTTTGAGACAATACGGAGGGCTCCTGAAGAGCTTATTAAGCGGGTGCACATGCTGCATTCCAGCAGAAAGAGTCAAGTACAAACACCGTCTGGAACTTCGGCAGAATTTCTCATCACGGTCTAGGTACACCAGATCCCTGCGCTCTCCCTCTGTTCGTAGTCATCATGGACGCCATCTCAAGAAACATTCAGAAACCGGCTCCCTGGATACTCCTCTATGCAGATGACGTGGTGCTCGCGAGTGAAGGCCTGGTCTAATCGCTCGGCAGAGTTCGGACTCAGGATGAACTTCAGCAAAACCGTGTACTTGACGACCGATGAATGAGTCGACGCCACAAATATCAGTGGCATAAGAAAAAACCTTCAAGATCCCTTACTTTTGGGATCGAATTGTGCACGAAGGCAGCCTAGCCTCAGAGGTGAACTCGCGTGTGAGTGCAGCATGGGCTAAATGGCGCTCCATAACTCTGTGACAAGATGATACCAGAGCGGCTCAAATATAAGATGTGTAGATGTAACTGGACCAGTAGCGTTGCACGGAGCTGAGTGCTGGCCTGCGACTGGAGGTTGAAGCCCGCCTTAGCGTGATGGAGATGAAAATGCTACGTTGGACGGCCGGTGTCACGCGTATGGATCGGATTTGCAACGATGACATACGCAAGAAATTCGGCGTAGCTTCCATAGTTGATAAAATGCGAGAATCTCGTCTCCGATGGTATGGCCACCTACTGCTCGCGAAGGCGGATACTTCTGTAAAACTGTTCTCCAATCCGAGGTGTTCGGGAAACTCCCTGATGGACGCGCCAAGCAACGCTGGCTTGACACGCCGCACGCGGATTTCGAAGATAGTTGGCGCCCATCCAGTTGAAGCATTCAATCGGGAGGAATGGCGTCACAAAATCAGAAGAGCGTTCCCCCTCTCCCCCCCAGAGTGGGACTAACGCTGGAAAATAAGAAGAAGGGAAGAAAAAGCACTGCCCACTTTCGGGCATACTCCGCCCTTAATGGGCGCATCTCTCTCATTTGATTAGCCAATTTTCTGCACACCCTTGCTCAGTTTTTCCCGGTCTTATGGGTGTTCTAGAACCGATTCACGGAGATCGACATCGACCCCGCCCACCTCGCTGCAAGCTCCTCCCGCTCCAGATGTGCCCCCCTCCCTCCCATTCGCTGACCCATTGGTCACCTTAGTCCACTTTTCCCATCCTTGGAACAGAACTATTTTTTTTCGCGCCAGCGCAAACTTTTAGCGCACGCGCCGCCCCCTGTCGGCGGTCTCAACACGAGCTCTATACATTTCAGTGTTGACCCGACCCCTCCAGTGATCTTCAGATAGAACCAAATTTTCGAACAGAGTGACAAAAATACAGATTGAGAAAACAAACAGAAGTAGTAAATTACATATAGTTGTGACTCTTGATTTAGTTTCTTAGTTACGTCCAACCATGATGTTACCATGATTTTGCTCATTATTATCGATTTGTTGGGGAAGTTCCGAAGAGATAGTGTGTTTTTCCTCGAGGCTTTGAAGATGATGGTGGTCACGCTTCAGATTATGCAGTTGAGTGCCTTCCACATTAGTATGCGTTTGGATTCGTGTGATTGTATTATATAATGTTCAAGAAGATGCGGACGATCATGCAGCAAACTAACATCTGAAATTAACGATCTCCGATTTGCAATAATTCATACCTGGGAATTTTTCTGCTTCCTTTTGAATGCACCTTGAAGAAAACACACGTCCCTTCTTGAATGGCGCTGCGCGCTGCCTCGACATGCTCTCTCCTTCGTCCTTCTCCAGGAAAGAAGTGGAAGTGGATATGTTACTATAAGAGCAAAATTTCCTCAAGAGTATAGGAATCTATCTTATAATGAGAAATCCAAAGTAACTCTAGTGTTTTCCTCACAAAATTTCTTCCGATTGAAAAATGCATTCATTGTAAACAAATTACTGAGTGGAATGAAAACTGACAGATAACTGGCACTGAAAGCGTTCCTTTCAACTGTGATTTCTATGCAGAAAATGAAATATTTGCGAACGGATTGTATACTGCAAGGGCGAGGATATCATCTCTGTAAGACAACACTTAGGTCACGAAAGAGAAGAGTCAAGTTGACAGAAATGAGCAGTTTCGACCCTAGATTTGCTTTTAATCGAAATGTCCCCTGCTCAAAAGAAATGGAATGCGTGAGGGACAACGGGTTATGCTCTTCGTATGACTCAAACTTGGTCTGAGAAAATGAATGACGAGTTTTTGACCACGTGATTACGCATCGCGCTGGACAATATCGAGTACAGTAAGAAGCGGCAGCATGCGTAATACCTCAATGGTACAAAGAAGCTCGCGATTATTCCTGCCAACTTTCTAGTAGTTTGACGAGTACGCTATCGAGCAAATTGTTTTCCCATTGCTCCACATCGAGTTCAACAGATTGCCCGGTATGACGCATATATGCGAGGTCAAAAATGCCATATATGAATTGTTTGGACCAACTTTGAAACGCCCAGGGGACACCGATTTTGGCCATCACCTGTGTATCACCTGTGCTCCCGTTGATCATCGAGTTCCTCGAGCGGGCGCCAGTAACGTCTCCATTCGTCCCTGCAACGTGCAAGAGTTGCCCAATGAACTCTCTCAGCTCGAGGGACACGATGAACTTCATACCATTCGTTCAGAGCTTTCACGAAGAAGTCTGACCATCGCCGGTCGTCCAGGCGTTCGCTTGACATCCCGTGGAATCCAGTCGGTGACTGCTCTGGTCCAGCGGTCGTCCTCGAAACGCGTCCGGCCCACCTGATCTTCGAAACCTTGGCAAAAGCGGCGGCGTCTCTGATCTTCGATCGTTGGCGGAGTGCGGAGCTCCGGATTCCCTCTCTCACTTGCGTGTAGCGGGAAACTCCGAGCATCGCCCTTTCGATGGCGCGTTGAATAACGCCGACCGCATGCTCATCCTGCTTTCGTAGAGTCCAAGTCTCTGAGGCGTACGTCAAGGCAGGAAGGACCGCGGAATCGAAGAGGTGGGCACGGAGCTTGGTGTTCTTCGTCTTCTTCGCTACTCCCTCGATGTTCTTGAAGGCTCCCCAAGCCGCTCGCTTCCTCCTGCTCAGCTCTGGAGCTAGGTCATTCATCATATTGATTTCACGACCTAGGTACACATAGCTAGAGCATTCAGAGATGGTCGTTCCGTTGAGCGTGAATGGGGCATCAGATACCAATCCGTTTCTCATGAACATCGTCTTCGTTAGATTCAGCCGTAGACCGATTTTTCCACACGCGCAGTCGAATTCAGCCATTCGTTCCGCTTGCTCGATGTTTGGTGTTATCAAAACGATGTCGTCAGCAAAGCGGAGATGGTGTAGTTGCCGACCGTCGATACGGCATCTTGTACTCTCGCGATACTTCAATGAGCTTCGTTACCGTGTGGATGTGATCGATCGTGCTGAATCCTCTTCGAAACCCTGCTTGCTCGCATGGCTGTCCTTCGTCTAGTGTTCTGCCAATCCTGTTCAGGATGACTCGTGTGAAGAGTTTGTAGACTACAGACAGCAGGCAGATTGGGCGATAATTGCCAATGTCGTACAGGTCTCCCTTCTTGTACAGCAACACAGTCTTGCTGGTTTTCCACGAGGTGGGTACCTTGCATTCCGACAGGTAGCGCGTGAAGAGTCGAGCCAGAGTTTTGACGAGAACTGGCGGAAGATTCTTCAGATGTTCGGGTCTGATCCTGTCGGGACCGGGTACGATTCTTCACCGACGAGATGGCGTGTCGGACTTCGGAAGGGAGAACTGCAGGAACGACATATCCATCCTGCTCCAAGCGGTATGGTTGCGTGGCTGTCAGAGATCCGAGTAGAAGTCGTGGATGACTTTCTCCATTGCCCTTCTGGATGCGGTGATTGTTCCATCCGGACGCCGGAGGGCGGTCATCTTGGTCTTACAGTTGGCGAAGTCGTCTTCCCAGCCTCTGCGGCTTCCACCAGTACTGCTGCTCTTCTCTCCTTGAGGTCTTCCTTTATCGCTTCTCTGCATAGCTTCGCAAGCTCAGACGTCAGCTGGTAATTGCCTGCGGCTCGTGCGGCTCCACGTTGGCGAATCAGCTCGAGAGTTTCCAGAGATAGACGCTTCTTGGTAATCTTGGAACCCTCTGACTTCTTGGCGCAGTCGTGAAGATGTGCAACAAGCCGTTCGTATTCCTCGTCGATGTTGTCGATGACAGAATCCTCCCAGAGCCCAGCGAGAGAAGTGAAGTGATCCCAGTTGATGACGGTCTTGGGGCTTCGCTTCTTGAACTTTGCGGCTCTCTCCTCGCATCGAAAAGCGGAATCTTGCGCGAAGGAGACGATGGTCGGATCCCGTGTAGAACTTAGGGACAACAGCGACATCGGTCAGGCAAAACCTTCGATTGCAGATGATGTGGTCGATCTCGTTATGGAATTGTCCACCAGGAGACTCCCATGTCCAGCGTAGAGAGTAGGGCTTCTGGAACTGCGAGTTACCATGGATGGTATGGGTCGACATGATAAACTCAGACAGCCTTTCACCCTGCTCATTCCACTCCGTTCCGTGAGTTCCGATGTGAAGTTCTTCAGCCGTTCTTCTTGGTCCGATCTTAGCGTTGAAATCACCGACGATGACCTTGAAGAAGGTATGATCTTCCTTGTAGAACTTCTCCAATTCCATATAGAACGCTTCGAGCTCATCCTCGTCGTAGCTTGATGTTGGTGCGTAGGCGACGAAGATTGTCAAAGCTGGAGTTGAACCACATCTTCTCAATCGCAAACGTCCGATTCGGGTCGTCAGACTTTCGTACGAATCGATGTTCATGGCCAAGTGCGTGTTGACGAGGACGCCCACACCGCCAACGCCTCTGCTGTCGCATGTTCCGAGGAACAGTTCTTCTCCAGTCTCGTATACGGCGTGTAGCGGGCGATGCCTCCTCGTCTCGGTCAGTCCGATGACGTCGTACTTGATCTTCCTGGCTTGCAACATCAGATCTTCGATGTGAGCTTCCGATGCAAGCGTCCGTGCGTTGAAAGTACAGATCGTCATCCTAGTCCTGGGCGACTTAAATCTCCGTTGGCCCTGTGATTTTAGCAGCCTCGCCCGAGCGGTCCCAGCCGACGTCGCCCTGTCGGTGGTTCCCTCAGGTTCAGGGGAATGAGGCCCATAATTGTTACTGTTTTCGGCGAGAAGAAATTTAACCACGCGCTCGCCAGGCTCTGACGTGGCACCCTCCGCATTGGTACGTTTTTGGAACAGTCCAAAACCGTTCACCCCCACGCCACGATGAGGCTGCGGATAGGATTTGTGGGGGCTTGGCCATACACTTCACAAATGAGCTTCTCTGCTTTAGCAGCTCGATTACACAAAAAAAAGGAAAAAGGAATGTGGTGAAAAGGGCCATTTTTGTAGACATAACACCCAATCTCAATGAAAGAGTATAGCAAAAACTGAACCAATACAAAAAAGTATACGGTCGTATAGAGAGCTATGTTCTATCCTCTATCGAACAACATCATAATATCATTGGCACAACTGTTCATCCTTCACAAAAGAGAATTCTCTTACACGTTTTGTTCGCAATTCTACCGTAACTGTTGAGAAAAAAGGCCGGTCCACAAACTCATAGCTTCAATGAGTAGCCGTTTTTTCTGAAACTCTCTGGATGAGAACTTTCACTTATTACTAACAATATTCCGAAGCAAAAACATTCATTCCGCAAGCAA